TCCATCAGCTATTAGTACCTCAGCAGGTTTCTTTTCCTTTGTGTGTGTGTGTGTGTTTTTTTTTTTTTTTTTTTTGGTCTGTTTTGTTTTGATTTTTTATTCAAATATATATATATAAAAAAATGATGTTTTTACATTGTATAGGTGATTTCAAGCAGAGGTGCAACAAGTTTGAGATTGGGTCAGGCATATGGCTACGTGGGTAATCGTCAATTCAGTGTATTCAATGAATTCTCTCAGAAACTTAAAGGTGAAGTTAACAGGTAAAAGTGTCTGGAAAGTGATGATTATTGGTTTCATATGTTAAAGTTTGTATTTTGCATTGTTATAGTTGTGCTAATTATTTGTTTATGGGAAATGCATGCTCAGAGCCTGTGCTAGCAAGATAAACTATTGCTTGTTCAAGTTGTTGGGGCTTCCTGTTGCTTTCGTTGTAAATAGAGAGAATGAAGTGAAACAGAGAAAGTTCCATTTTAATTGCTTTGCTTTAGAATGCCTAGTTATCTGGTAAAATTGAAATAGGAAGGTTTCTGAAGTCTGGTTCATACTTGGAGTAAATTTTAGGAGGAGCCTTTTTTCTTAGTTGTGTGGACGAGTGAATTTATGCAGATTGTCCTAGGGTTTATGACCAATTCCTCTACTTGGTGGGTCTTTATTTGGAAGTTGGAACAGATAGATGCCCCTTGCATGAACTCTTTTTTTTTTTTTTTTTTTTTTTGAAGTGCATGAACTCTTCTAGAGTGTGCTTGGACTGCATTTATATTTTTGCATATTCTTATCCTTATTTATATCTAATAACTTCAAGGATTTGGCTTGGCATATTTTTAGAGAATTGTGTAGATGTCCTCTTTCAGAGCTTTCATATTTGCCATCATGTTTAAACTTATAAACTCTTTCTGAATTTTCTGGGTTGCAGAAACAAGGAATTTCAGCAGTCAGTCAAAGAACTGAAAGATAAAGCAGAAGAGCTTCAAGGAGTCAAAGAAGATCTAAAAGCAAGGTAGGTTATGAATTAAAAATGTAATTATGCATTGTAAAACGCTCTGGCCTTCATTAGGGACATGCTGTTGTATGTCAAGGCTGGTGGAAACTTCCTGTTGGGACCCTGAAATGGTGAATTGGAAAATGCAGAACAAAGCAGACTACTGAGCAGCTTTACAAGCATGTGGATGGTGTCTGGACAGAGGCTGAATCTACAGCAAAAAAGGTAGAGATGGACTGATGGAAACTCCCTATTTTTGCTTTGATGACTTTTTACACTTCACTGACCAAGTAAATCAACTATTGCTTAGATTGCAAGCAAATTTGAGTGAAAGTTGTTGCCAATGTAATGAATCTTCTAAAACTGTTTCAAGATGTCTATTTTGAGTGTGTTTCGGCATCAAAGGGTGAAAGGGATTCTAATGTTAATTGTGAGCAACCAATGTCAATATGGTCTGCTAGTTGTTGCCTTTGGTTTTCTTACATGTTCTACTGTAGGTTTATGCTAATGTCGGGGAAAAGGTTTCTGCTGCTAAGGAAGAGGTTTGTAGATTTCAAGTTTGCCTTGCTCCTGTGTAGAGTGGTGTTTACTGAGTAGTGAATAATTTAGTACTCTCTATTTTTTGTAGGTCAAAGAAACTTTTGGGTATGGGAAGCAAGACTCTGAAGGATCAAATGTAAACTCCGACAGTTGCAGCTCAAATACCAAAGATACAAACCATTCTACAAGTGGAGAAAAGCAGCAACAGCATCAGAAACCTGATTTCCATGGTACTGCAGAAACAGTTTTTGGCAAGGTTAAGTCTGCTGCTTCCTCCATTTCTTCAAAAGTCTTGCCGTCCATCCAGAAACTAAAGGAAGCAAAGCCAATCGACTTAGCAAAAAAGGGGTACGCTATTGTAGTGGATGAGTTAAAAGGTACTGCAAGTAAGAGGAAGCACCTTGAAACTCCCTCAGAATCCCCACAGGCGAACATTCAGCGGAGCACAAGGACTGATATTGTTGTTTTACCCTCAAAAGAATCCAGATGGAGTAAGAAGTGGGAGGCTTTCAAGGAAAAAGTAATTTACTCATGCACTCTTACTTTTGGATGTGGATGTGTCAGACTGTCAGTATAGTCTTATTATCCTTTCTAAGATTCAAGATTAATGTCAGCTATTCTTCTCAGATGCAAGGCAACCCCCTTTTTAAGCGTGTCAGGGGAGCAAGTGAACCTGTGGTCACAAAGAGTCAAGAGGTTTGTTGAAACACTGAATCCTAGTATAATGTTTGTTCTTAAGGTCTTAATATATGGCTGAACCTGAATATAGTTTTTATATTACAGCAGTACTAGCACACACATAGATAAGTGGTGACTGATATCTGACTGTTCTAGATTTTATATTATCTTCGGTCACCTTTTTGATAATTTCTAGATTTTACGTATTTTCTTACTTTCCCTTGCGATCTGTGTATTAATTGATTCATGGGCTGAGATGGCAGATTGCAGAAGATATTCGGGAAAGATGGGAGACTAGTGATCATCCCGTGGTTCACAAAATCCAAGAGTGTGTTCTAACTATCCTATTCTTAGGCTTGTTTAAATGGTTAGTGTTTTATAAGGCAAATTAGTAATTACCCATTTTGATTTGATTTGACAGTATAAATGAAACTGTGTTTGGGGAATCAAGTGCTGCATTGTCATTTAAGGAAATACGTCGCAGAGACCCGTATGATCTTGTGCCTTGTTTTTCCTTCTTATTACTACTGGTTTCTCAGTGATATGTTGTGTTAATCTGAAGTGGATTTCTTCTAGGACGTTCTCTTTACCAGATTTTGTTTCTGAGGTTCAAGAAGTAATCAGACCTGTCCTCGAGGCTTTCTATAAAGTGAGTTAACACAATCTCACAAAAGCTTACGATTCATTCCATCCGTATTATCTCATTTACATTGATTATTGCTTTTGTCTCCATTTTTTATTTTCTTTTAATATGAACTGTTTTTAGGGAGATATTGAAGTACTTAAAAAATATTGTGCCTCCACGATGGTTGAGCGGTGTAAAGCAGAGCATACGGCTTTCAACAGTCAGGGTTATGTTTTCGATAATAAAGTAAGAACGCTAATCATGATATGATGCATATTTAATTCATCTCTACACACTACTCTTATTTCACCTTACATATTTTGGGTGTAGATTCTTCATATTTCTGAAGTCGAAGTTCGAGAGACGAAATTGATGGGAGAAACTCCCATAATCATTTTAGCGGTAAGCATGTTTAAGCATTCTATTTCTGACATTTGGATAATATAATACTCTTCTTAGCCTCCTCCACAAACTCCCTGTAAGAGAAAAACTAGTGAAAAGGCGATCTCTACTGCCCAGAGAATAGAAAGCCTTCTTTCATCAAATATGTAGATCTATGATGACGACTGAAATACTGATGGACTCTTTTTTGGTTTGTGCGGTTGCCACAGTTCCAAACACAGCAGGTATATTGTCTACGTGATAAATTGGGCTCCATAACAGAAGGGGGAAAAGTAAGTTGTGAGAAGTATCATTATTTATTTAATTTTTTTAATGGAAATTTCAAGTTTTCTGCATCAAGATTCACGCGAACAAACATAGCCTGTTGAGACACATCTTAGTTGTGTCACGGGCAGACAAACTTTCATACTTTGGGTTACGTTTGGAAAGCAGGAAATTGACTTCTGAAAAATGTTTTCTGGAAAATGAGACGTGTTTGGTTCATTTTCTAGAAAATGAGTAAAATTGTATAATTAAATATTTTATTTACAATATAAAGTTATTTATAATAGTATTAAAAATAATATTATTCATCAAAAAAAAAAAAAAGGTTTCCGGGGTGGTCTCTGCCGGAAACCATAGGTGTTCTGGACCAGACTTATGGTTTCCGCCGGAAACTTTGTTCTGAGTATGGTGGAAAATGACTAGATTTTCTCCAGTCAACGGAAAATGTTTTCCATTGACTGGATTTTCCAATTGCATCCAAACTGGAAACTCGAAAAATGATTTCCAAACACAGCCTTAGTGGTACGGTCTTTCTTTTTCATTCTTGGATCGTGAATAGAGATATGGTTTCAGGACATAAATTTGTTGACACTAATTCTGATTCAACTGCATTCTGATGTGTGCTTGTATTTATCTATCCGTGAGAGATCAGGACTCGATTCACACGGTATATTATGCTTGGGCGATGGAACTAGTGGATGCAGATGAAGCCGGAGAGGGCGCAGTTTTTCCCCTATGGCGGCTTAAGGAGATGCAACAATTTGGCGTCACTGCCCTTATATAACGACATTTTTTGCCCAATTATGAGTGGAGTTAGCTGTTGTATCAGTTCTTTCTTCTTGCCTGGAGTTAAGAAAATTTTTATTATTACAAATCTGAACTCCACACTCCAGAGAGAATTCATGTTCTAGACTAGTGGACAATAATATTTTTTTTTTTCTGGGATTCAATGATTTTCTCAGCTGCAAAATGTATGATTTTGCATGGAAACAAATGAGAGTATTGTGCTCCCAACATACATAAAGTTCACATTTAGCAAATTTATATTCAAAATGGTTAATTTTTACACATGTAACACTGATGATCTTTAGTAATAATATAATGTTATGATTGTTCAGTAGAGGTACTTGTCAAAAGTGGCTTGTAACACTAATCACCAAAAAGGATTATTGAAAATTTTAGATCATTGTATTAACCAAGGTGATTGGAATTTCTAATCACATCTTAACCTCTACCAATCGTGGTAAGAAAAGTTGTAAAATTCTATTTTTTTTTTTTAAAAAAAATCAGTCTCGAACCTCCTTGTTAGTAGGGAAGGTTATTAGACATTTTAGTTGACAAAAGAAACCAGTCTCGAACTAAGAATGCCATTAGACCCCGGTTAATTGATCAATGTCATCATCATTTCTAGTTTTGTAGAAGATGAAGATCCACTCCTTCCTTTCATTAACATATATATAGCCAAAAGCTTAGAACTATACACGGTCAACACAAGTACAAGAAAAGAGGTAGTAGCCAAGACACAACTTTATTATTCAAAGATACACACTACAGTACAATATGTTAAGATCAAACGCTTACCACTACACCAAACATTATAGCTAGTAGTCAAGACACACAACTTTATTTTCTTATACTGCCACACATTTTTATAAGGTAGGGTACTGAATTTGGCCCTTCAAGTCTCTGCCCAACACAACAAACCATAAATGCGGCAATAGTATAATTAATCTTAATTAGGGGACAATGATGGTCGCTTTCGGCAAAAGGCAGTTCCATTGTGATTATAGAGTATGCAGCCATGGTTTTGTTCTACGCAACAATTTGTGCAATTATCAACCTTTGATACCTCAGAAGTTGCCGGGCAAATCTTATACTTTGCTCGAAGATCACACTCTTTAGTGCAAGGTTTTTGTTGGGCATTTGCATGCTTCACCTGGATTCCAAACACAACAATAATGCCTGCGCGGATAATCATGAGATTCGAGCTCGAGATCTTTTGACTCTTAATTTAACTATGAATAATGTAACTAAAAATAATAACTATGGTTAAATTTAAGGTAATTTTTGGAAGAAGACATACCGCAGAGGAGGAGGGTGACAAGGCCAATTTTGCGAGTAGTAGCCATGGATGCAATAATATAATGGTACCTTAAATCTTCACTTGTCGAAAGGAATTTGCTTTGTATGTATATGTATATGTTGCTTAGCTTAATTGATGCATGAATGGATAGTGTTAAGGTGTTCTAGTATCCCATTTATATAGCAATTAGCCAACAAACAATCATAGATGCACACTGAGTAAATCTTGCCTTGTGACTCTAGCCAACAAATGATTACAAGGAAGTAATATAAACCATACTAGGTTGCTCATAACTGAGATTCAGATACTTGGACTGAATATAGGAAAGCGGGGACCAAAGCCCCAGTTCAATCAGTACCGACTCAAACCAAGAAATAAAGTTTTCACGAGGTGTCAAACTTAGAATCTTGTGGGGTTACGGGTTACTAATCTAATTATTTTTCATCTTACTAGATATGTTGATTGATTATATATATATATATATATATATATATATATATATATATATATATATATATGTGTGTGTGTGTGTGTGTGTGTGTGTGTGTGTGTGTGTGTGTGGGCTAATGTGCTATTGCATAGGACTTAGGAGCAAGATTTACTCTTGTGCAGACATTCAAGTAGTACGTGGATACAATGTTGCAAAAAACGTTAGGCGCCCCTAGGCGCCGATTTTTTATTTTTTATTTTTATTTATTTTTATTTTTTTAATTAAAAAAAATTAAAAATTAAAAATTTTCAAAATTTAGTACTAAAATATAAGGTTTTCATAGTTATTTCTTAGAAACTATTTACAAAAGTGGTTGTAAAATTGTTCAAAAGATTGTTTAAACCATCTAAATACATAAAAAACTAAAATTAAGAGCTAAAGAAGCATTTTTTTTGAGAAATTAGTGGACCAAACCGCCTTTGGCTGTTTGCGGTGTATAGATCTCGAAAAAATACGCGATTTGAAAAAAAAATTGTACCAATCGGACAACCGAGTCAAAAGTTATGCCTTCCGAACTTTTCCGACATTAAAAAAAAAAAAAAAAAAATCGCCGAACCGGCCGGCCGCGTAGGAGGCCGCCGAGGCTATTCCTCACGGCGGCCTCCTATCGCCCAGCGCCTAGGCGCCGATTAATCGGCGCCTAGGCGCGATTTTTGCAACCATCGTAGGTTTCAGCCAAAAAATAAATAAAAATGCGTGAGTTTTTACCGTATTAATACAAATAAATATATTTTAATTATAAAATATATTATGTGTTGCAATACATATTAAATTTCATATTTTTATTAATTACATGTAATATCATGTACTCGATCCATCTATCCCATTTTATTTAATTTTTCTTTTTTATTATTCATTTATCAATTCAGTTCTTTTTTGCAAAAAAAATATTTAGTAATTTTTAAATATGAAAATTTTATTAATTAATATTAAATTAAATATTACAAATTAAATATATGATGACTATCGAAACGTGTTATGTACTAATCTACCAATTGTAGAAACCAAAAGTGCTACGTGGCAAAAGTTAGGCATGGTCATTGATTATATACTGGTAAAAGTTAGGTATAATTATTAATTATTCATTTAATAATATGAAGAAAATTGAAAAGATAAACAAACGATTTCATGCATGGTACGGTGGTACTTGGCATGCAATTTATATTGTGGACCATATAATAAGGAAAAGACAACGTTAAGTCGTTAATATATATATATATATATATATATATATATATATATATATATATATATATGCTAAAAATGAACTTTCAGTATACTAAAGATAAACATGTATATGTCAGTGATTTACTTGGCAATGTAACCCGTGATTCATGGCACAACAATTGGTGGTACTAATTTAAGTGTCCATGTTCTTATCCACTATTACATATATCGTGTCTCGCATATATTTAATTCTGATAGTTTTATCGGAATCGGATACACCATAAACAATATATGAATGTACAAAACAAGGGTAGGAAAATAGTAACTTTATTATGCTTAAGACTACAAGCCACTAGACGGATGTTGTAGTGAACAAACCAAGATATCATGGAAGGGAAACCTGCTACTTATTTATAGTGTTGAAGAGCCTCCCATGTCCTGCCAAATGTGTGACATTATATTGCTTTGTTATCCTTGCTCACCATCCACGTATCCCCTCAGCTCTCTCTCATTTGCCTCCCACGAATGTCGACACCTTTTTCCTTCATCATCTTTACCCTCCTTAGCTCACGTTGCAGCTTGTACTCACACCCACGCCACACCACCCCAAGCAACCCCGTTGACGATAGTGTCACCGGTGCGCTTGGCCCCTGTTGGCCATGCCGTGGCCCAGCGGGGCCCCTGCTAGAAACCAACATGCATGAATATAATATATATGACCTGCCGAGTGTCTATAAACGAAGTATGCACTAACTTGGTGGGATGGGACTTGCATAACAGGACTTGTATTGTTATGCTTGAGGTCGTGAGTTCAAAATTTCAAACCTTGTTGATTGTATGGGCCACCATTTCTTCTTCCATGCTAACCTAACATTACAAGACTTCTTTTCTCTTTTTGGGCCACTATGCCTCCATCATATCCTTGCTAAGTTGCTAGTCTAACAAAACTTTCATTCTTCTTGGGGTAAACCCCACCAATAAAGTAATTATTTATAAATCCATTTTAAAAAGTAATTAACTTACTATTAATAAATTCATAGCAGGTTGAAACATTATGGCCCAGTTTGGTAAAAAGTTAGTCTATCAGTCAATTTTGATTTATTTGATCACTATTAATTGTTTGACTTGATTAAAAAATGAATATAAGTGTTTGGTTAATTAGCTTTTTGTAACTTCAAAATGAAAAAATTCAAAAAGCTGCTCAAAACAACTGTTTCAATTAACTTTTTGAGAAAAGAAATTATACCAAACAGCTATCAGCTAACAACTAATTTACCAAACACATTTCTACAATCAGCTAATGTTATCAACTAGTTATACCCTCCAATTAACCTAATTAGCTAACAGCTAACAGCTAACAGCTATTAGCTAACAACCATTTACCAAACAGGGCCATTATGTTAAAAAAATTTATTATGCTTAAAATTTTGACATTATAAAAAATAATTAAAACATTAATGTACACTAATACTTATTGATTTATAAATCTAAATATGTTAGGTTAATGTATTAATTTTTTTTTTTTTTTTGTATTAATTAATATTTAAGTGAGAAGACTAACATTTTACAAATGTTCTTTCAACGTTATGTTCCTTTGGCTAAAAATGCAGAGAAGAGAAAGTGACTCTAGTGGTGCTGTGGATGGATCAAGGGAGAATAGGAACTCCTTGGGCCAAGAGCGTGGGAATATTCTGAGTGCATGTAAGCGGTGGATGAATGTTCTGAGCAGGTGCCCACCTTGCATGATGCGCACGAATCTATATTCATAATTTTTATATTGTAGATAGATGCATAATTTTTATACTGTAGATCCATAATTTTTAGACTCTCGGTGAGCTAAAATTTATACTTTAGATTCATAATTTTTAAAATCGTAGGATCCATAATTTAAATGCAGTAGATCTATAATTTCTATACAGTAGATCTATAATTTCTATACACTAGATCCATAATTTCTATACTGCACTGATTTGTGACAACATGGTTCAACAATTGGAATCCTGAGAGTCTAGAAATTATGAATCTACAATATAGAAATTATGAATGTACAGTATAGAAATTATAGATATAGATTCGTGCACACTATGTGCATGGTGGGCACGTGCTCATAACATAATTTGCCAGATGAATATCATCCATATTTTTTGAGGACATATGACAAAATTTGTAGTTAGAGATCGTTATAATTGGATGGAGTTCAAAGATCTCCGAGGAGATATCTAAAGGGACCTTGAGAGAGAGAGACAAAAAAGTGATCGCTCATTGCGGCCGTTGTACTAGAAAGAAACATTACTATAAGATATATTAAATAATAATATATCTATATAAGATATATATATTATATATAATATATCTATACGTGTCTATATATATATATATATATATATATATATATATATATATATATATATGTATGTATGTATATAAAATTGAGAAGAGAGAGGGAGGAATTGAATAGCTAATGTTTATTGCATTTGATGATTTAAAATGGTTAATGACAAGCCTATTTATAGTGAATACAAAACTAGTAAAGCATAAATTTAGGAAATGCATGCTCCATGTATTGTAAAGTCATGACCCACATACTGCATCCTCAATCCGCATGCATTGCCACATTTCCCACATACTTGGTTTAATTAAATTATAATAATAATATTATTATAACATTGCATCCTTTAATCTCCTTCTTCAATTTGAGAAATGTCTCTGTCTTCAACGGTTTCGTAAAGATATCTGCAACTTGACATTCACTTGAAGAATACTCAATGTTGATTTATTTTTCAGCAACCAACTCTCTGATTTTGTGATACTTGATATCAATATGTTTGCTGCGACCATGAAATACTGGATTTTTGGACAACGAAATTGCTGACTTGTTGTCACAAAAAATAGTCGTAGGTGCTTCCTGCTCGTGTTGTAAGAACTCCAAAATTCTCCTCAGCCAAACTGCTTGAGTAGCACAGTTTGCTGCTGCAATATATTCTGCTTCTGCGGTTGAAAGTGCTACAATCTACTGCTTCTTTGAAGATCAAGAAAATATAGCTGAGCCAAGATAGAAGGCATACCCTGATGTGCTTTTTCTGGTCTCAATATCTCCAGCCCAATCACTGTCTGTGTACTCAACAAGTTCCACAGCTTCATTAGTAGAGTAAAAAAGTCCATCATTACTCGTACCTTTCACATATCTCAGAATTCGCTTTGCTGCAGCCCAATGTGATTCTTTTGGTTCTTCCATGAATCTACTAAGTATTCCAACTCCAAAAGAAATATCCGGCCTTGTTGCCACCAGATACCTTAAACTTCCAATTAAGCTTTTATAAGCTGTAACATTCACATTCTTACCACACTCATCTTTGGACACCTTTAACTTTTCAGCTAACGGAGTTGAAACTGGTTTGGAGTTTTCCATTTTGAACATTTTCAAAATATCAGCAGCATACTTCTTTTGTGAAATAAAGATTCCACCATCCATCTGAA